TGGGCTTCTGGGCACTTGTCCCTGGGGTCTACCCCCTAGGTGCCCACACCCCACTGCCCCCCACCCCAGGAGGGCACATACAGAGCTGCACAGGATCTGCACAGGGAAAAGGGTGTTTAATTGATGGTGGGTGGGGTAAGGTGAGGTGGGATGAGATGGGTGGTGGAAGGCCTCTACGAGGAGGGAGGGGATGAGTGGGGGAGGAAGAGGGGAAGGTCTCTATTGCTGGGGAAGGAGGGGGGAGGGGTGTCCATACTGAGTGTGGTTCTGGGTATGCACGGTGGAGCTGGGGGCTGGGGTTAGCCATCCAGGTGGCCTACATACAGTCCTGGATGGCTGGGTGGGCCCACAGGCAGTGGGGCTGGAGTCCCAGAAGCATGTGAATGGCACTAATGGCAGCATCCCCATTTGTCTCATTGGCATCCCTGCCAGGATCTGGGCAGCAGCATGCTGGCACTACACTGGGGCAGTGCAGTGAGCCTGGCCAGGTGGCCACACCATGCAGGTTGCTGCCAGGGCTGAGTCTGATCAGGGCTAGGAAATGGTTGCTGCAGCAGCAAAGCAGGGTAACCAGGGTGGCAACTAGGACTAGGGACAGACATTACACATAAATGGGTTTAACTGATCACAAACAAGTTTAAACCTATAACAGAACAGATTTTCAGTGCACATAAACTAGTTTGGCTGAAACCAGTTTAAGATAAACCTGGTTGAATGTAGTATCAGATTTAACTGATTTGGCTCAAACCAGTTTATGCAATGTCTGTCCCAGACCCCTTGCTGATTTAAGATAAATCAGAGCATCCCAGCATGCTCTCTGGCTGGGCAGGGCTCTCTGCTCCACAGCAGGGCTGGCCCCTCCCCTTTACTGCTTTGCTGGAGCTCAGCAGTCTCTACAGGCATCTGCTCCCCCACTCCCCTCTCCACTCTGTGCTAAGCAGGCATTCCCCCGTCCCTCATAGACACCTCAGCAGACCACATGCTGGCTACAGTCAGTGCTGTGGGAGACAACAGGGGCAGACAGTCTTTTTGGATCTATTTAACAGATAGCAGAAAAGCTGTTTAAGAGCTGTTTGCTCCCCCTCTGCCCTTCACCACTCCCTACTAAGCAGAAATTCCCTCATCCCCTCTGCCTTGCAGAGAAGGTATCTGTATTACCTAGCAGACCACATGGTGGGTCCGTGCTGAATCAACAGGTAGCTGGTAATGTCCCTCTCTTTTCTTAATGGGGCGATCAACACTAAGATAGAGGTGACACTATTATCAGTCCCCCACCCCACCCCAGCTTGCTTGCCTGTCAGTTTGCTGCAGACAGTATACAGAAGCAGGGAGGGAGATTGAAAAGCTCTGTACCATCAACAAATGCATGCACTGCACCCACCTGATTTGCCTCAGTGCTAGCTGGGGGCTGGCAACACTCCTGCCCCTTGAGCAACAAGCCAGGAAAAGCATGGGACTGCAGGCAGGCTGGGAATTTACATCCCCTCCCTAATCAGAGCCTCCTGCTGGGACCTGGCCACACCCCACTCAGCTCAGCACTGCAAGGGAAGGGAGAGCTGCTCTAGCACTGGCCAGCTTCCAGCCTGACCCACTGCAGGCATGTGCCTGAATTTCCTTAGTCCAGAGAGATTGTCTGTATGGTTGGAAACCAGTTCAGCCTAGCCAGGTTAGACTAACCTGCAAAGGTTGAATCAATTCAGGCTCAGGTTTTTTGAATGTCTGTCCCTAGCCTAGGAAGCCAGAGCACAGGACATTGCTTGTGGCAGGGCTAACTGGACCTTGTTGTGCATCCACAGGTGCATCTCAAGTAGAGCCAGGGAGGTGATCCTCCCCCTCTATGCGACACTGGTTAGGCCACAGCTGGAGTACTGCATCCAGTTCTGTGCACCCCATTTCAGGAGGGATGTGGACAACACTGAAAGGGTCCAAAGGAGGGCCACCCGCATGATCCGGGGACAACAGGGCAGACCCTACATTGAAAGACTGCGGGACCTAAACCTGTTCAGCCTTCACAAGAGAAGGCTGAGGGGGGACCTGGTGACTGTCTATAAACTCACTAGGGGGGACCAGAAGGGTTTGGGGAGACACTGTTTCCTCTAGCGCCCCCTGGCATGACAAGGAACAATGGACACAAATTATTGGAGAGTAGGTTTAGATTAGACATCCGCAAGAACTACTTCACAGTTAGGGCGGCTAGGAGCTGGAACCAACTTCCAAGGGAAGTGGTGCTGTCTCCTACCCTGGGGATCTTTAAGAAGAGGCTTGATGCCTACCTGGCTGGACTCATTTGAGTCCAGTTTTTTTCTCCTGCCCAGGCCGGGGGTCGGATTTGAAGATCTACAGGGTCCCTTCCGACCCTACTTCTATGATTCTATGCTTCTGGGGCCTGGGAGTAGAGCAGTCATGGCGCTAAGGGCAGTGGCTCCAGCGACAGAGCCACAGCATGCTGGCACAGTGCTCTGCAGGATGCTTTGGGCCAGGAAGACAGGTGGCCAGGGAGCTGGGAGTAGGGTTGCCTTTTAAAAATGGCCACAGGCAGCTGCAGCCAGAGCCTCCAGCTCTCCCTGGCTGCTGCAAGGGTCAATGCAAGACTGAAAGAGGTGGAGCCGACTGCTGCCAAGAGCATCAAAACTGTTCCCAAATCCCTGCACATATAAATGCCTGCCCAATTACTCTGGAGTAAACCCATCCCACAGAATTAGTATATTTAGAAGTACCCAGTATGACCTTAAACTGGAAAAGGGCCACAGTCACCAGGTAGGGAAGCAGCTGGGGGGGGAGTGGGGGGGAGAGTTGCAGCTGAGCAGGAGCTGGGGCTGGCAGTAGCATGGAGCCTGTGCCCAGAGGGGCGATGGGAGGACAGAGCTTGGGTGGGCAGGTTGTAGGTGTGAGGGAGGGTGGTGGGGGAGTGGGGACCCCTGACACTCCCCCCGCATGGAGCACTCCATTGAAGACAGCAGCAACAGCAGGTGGTGGGCACTCAGAGTACCAATGCCCTGTGCAGGCATTGCCTCCCAGTGGTGCATAGCTCAACCAGCACTGCATGTGGTGGCAAAGAGTGCAGCCAGGCCAGCCTGCCTCTATCACATGGGTCTCCTCATGGTGCACATGCAGCTCCATGCCACTGGGGGAACCCCTGCAAAATGGGGCCAAATGTCTTCCCCACCCCCTGCTGTGCAGGTCCCCAGAACTCTGCTGGAAGTGGAGGGGAGCCCAAACTTTGCTTCCCTGCAGAGTCCTGCCTCCTGCATGGCAGGGGGCAGGGAGTCAGTCAAGTCCATCGTGAGGGGCTTCCCCTGGTGGTGTGGAGCTGCACATGCACCATGAAGACCCCCACACAAGAGGCAGGCCAGCATGGCTGTCCTCCTTACCACCATGTGCAGCACTGGCTGGAGCCAAGTGCCACCAAGTGGCAGCACCTGCATAGGGCACAAGCACCCTGAGTGCCTGCCACCTTCTGTTACCCCCTATGGGGGGAGTATATGGTGGTCCCCACACCTCCCCTCCCTCACACCCCACAAATGTCATACACCCACACCCAGCCCCTACAACCCCCCCGTATACACCCCCCCAAACATACCCTACTGCCCCCATACACACAGCCACACTCCCTCACAACTCCCCACACACCCCAACCATGACTCCACATACAATATACAAAAGATTTATTTTTCAGTTATTATGCAGGCACCTCTGTATACAGTACACAAACATAAATCATGACAAAAATATTTTTTGCAACAAAATTAAGATATGTTATAATAGGTGTTTGACTTCTAATATATGATTTTTTTCCTGGTTCCAAGATGGCAACCCTCTCTCTCCCAAAAGGAGTACTTCCAGAGGGTAAGAGGAGGGACTTCTGGTGGCAAAGATCAGGGGTTTGGGGCAGGACTTCCGGTGCCAAGGTGGCAACCAGGGAGCAAGGCTCCTGTCAAGGCATGGGGCTACCCTGGCAGCCGTCTTCAGCTCACTAAAACTCCTTAGGTGGCTCTCCAGCCGAAATAATTTCCTGCCATTGCCTTAAGGTGTGACTGCTCTAAACTCAAGCTAGCCCTAACACCAGTCAACATTTGTGCAGTGTGTAACAGGGCCCCAATACTGTATTAAGGAGTTAGTCAAAGAGAATGACCTAGCTACATGCACAGTTCAAGCAAACAGGTCTTATGCCATTTTGTCCTCATAATTCATAGATTCATAGATTAAGGGTCGGAAGGGACCTAGTAGATCTTCTAGCCCGACCCCCCGCCAGGGCGGGAGAACAACAAAAAAAAACCCCAAAAAGAGAAACGGGACTCAAATGAGTCCAGCCAGGTAGGCATCCAGCCTCTTCTTAAAGACCCCCAGGGTAGGGGCCAGCACCACTTCCCTTGGAAGTTGGTTCCAGCTCCTAGCCGCCCTAACTGTGAAGTAGTTTTTGCGGATGTTCAATCTATACCTCCTCTCCATCAACTTGTGCCCATTACTCCTTGTTATGCCAGCGGGCGCTAGGGGAAACAGCGTCTCCCCCAAACCCTTCTGGTCCCCCCTAGTGAGTCTATAGACGGTCACCAGGTCCCCCCTCAGCCTTCTCTTGTGGAGGCTGAATAGGTTCAGGTCCCGCAGTCTCTCACTGTAGGGTCTGCCCTGTTGTCCCCGGATCATGCGGGTGGCCCTCCTCTGGACCCTCTCCATGTTGTCCACATCCCTCTTGAAATGGGGCGCACAGAACTGGACACAATACTCCAGCTGTGGCCTGACCAGCGTCGCGTAGAGGGGGAGGATCACCTCCTTGGCTCTACTCGAGATGCACCTGTGGATGCATGACAAGGTCCGGTTAGCCCTGCCAACCATGACCTCGCATTGTCGGCCCATGTTCATCTTGGAGTCAATAATGACTCCAAGATCTCTTTCTGCCTCCGTGCTCTCGAGTACGGAGTTCCCCATTGTGTAAGTGTGCTGCTGGTTCCTACTGCCCAAGTGCAGCACCCTGCACTTGTCCGTATTAAAACGCAAAAGTCAAGTCAGAAATATTATACACAAGATAGGAAAGAGCTGCTTTCTTTTTGTACTCACATATTAAAAATGTCCAACTTCTTAAATGCATCTGCAGTATCTTGTACTTGCTGCAATCACTAGAGCCGTGTGTGATAGAAGCAATTTCAGCTCATTGGTGGGGTTTAGATAACTGTTAGTTTGCTTTAATCCAAATAGGTTTGTACATCCAGGAGTTCTGTTCAAATTTGAATCAGAGTGGGATTAGAATAATAATCAAACCTCAACCTAAACACTACATTTAAAATCATTTTAGGCAGAACTCTGATAAATTATCCATGTTTCCTTAAGAAAACTGTATATCTGTAAACTTTTTTTCTAGATCTCAATCTTTTTGTAATCAGCTCACTTAGATCTCCTTTATTTTACATTGTCTTTTGATAGTGCGTGTTGTTCTGCAAAGCTTACTCACCTCCCAAAAAGCAGAGTGAGTCAGGTAGGCTCCCTCTCCAGTTTGCTGCCTGACTGCCATAGTGCATGGGAAGTACAAGGATTTCTCTTATCTGCTGCCTCCTGAGGGGCTAACTTCTTGCATCTAGCATCCCTTCCCCCTCAATCTCTTGCATGCCTATGCAAGAGTCACCATAATATGTCCCACAAATTTTTGCTCATGCTGATTAAGATGATACCAAAGTGCACCACAACTATATGAGAATCTAATAATTCTATAGCCTGGGGCTTGCTGTTACTCTGGTATAGTCCAAGTAAAATACCATTTCTTTGCAATACTTAGCACTGTAACTGTATGAAGCACACAAATCAGTAGTTCCTTTTCAGTGACTATCTCAGTTACTTCTATGTTCTGAATTCAACTCTCCTCATATATTAGGTACTAAAAAAAGAGAGGTTGTAAGTCAGAATGAAATGGCTGCAGTGCACATTTACTGTAAGCTGTCTGTGTAGCAGTAGATGAATGCAAACTCTTGGAATTAATCAACTAGGGCATGACCTTGCTGAAACATTTATGAAAAAACAGTTGCAAACCTTACTAACATACTCTCTTCTCACTTCTGTATCTTCCTTTCTGAGATGCAGAGGCTGGTCTTCACTAGCCCCAGTTCCTACATTGCTCTTGGGAACAAAAAGGACAAGAAACACTAGAGATATATTTGATTATGTGAGCTGTATAACTCACTCCGTATCATTAGATCCTAAATGAGTGCAATAATCTTCACAATAGTCAGTGAGCAGGATCAGATTTTTACAGAGGTCTCTCACTTGAAACATGTTGTGTAAACCTTGATTTCCCCTCCAGGGACCATACTTACACACTGACAGTCTTCATTACAGTCAGTGTAAAGGCAAAAGAAGTAGCTATTGAAGTTTTCTATGCTGGTTACCAGTAAGAACATCACAAAAGAACAACATCTCTGTTTCCTTGCCTCGTTTTTTTCACAGAGCTGTGCTCAGGAGGCCATGAGGCCTAGGAGCTAGTTAGTATTCCTATTAAGCAAAATCGTTAATTTTCCAGAAAGCTTAGAGAACATGTGGTAGTAATAATAATGGTAGGTCCCAGATATTCCAGGATGTGATACCTGGCATTTTTCCAAGAAGCAGGTCTGTTTTAAAATTTTGGAAACAGTGAGGGCATTAGAGAAGAGGTAATCTAGAAAATTACCTGGGACTGTGGGCTCATGAGCTGGTTCAGTTTAGATTAAATGGAAAGATAAACAGTAGGTTTATAGCTAAGGCTCTCAGTTTCAAAAGGGAAGCTATGAGAACTTATGAAAGTTAAGTAGTGAAATCAGATGGACTGAAAAGCTCAGAGGACTTAAATGTGGAAGAGGTATGGAATTCTTTTGAGATGAAACAAAGTATTTCAAACTTGAATCACAAACAAAGAGAAAAGCTTGGAGGGAAAGACTTCAGACTTAACTGGATAAACAACCACCTGAAATAAGTATATTAGGAGTAATTAGGGAATCTACAAGGATTGGGGAAAAAATGATCAGCAAAGAAAGATACATAGGTCAAAAAAGTGAAGATAAGTGAAAACTGTCAAAAGCAAACCTGAATTAGGTCTTGCAAAGGTTATTAACATACATATTAAGTTTTGTTAGTCAAATAAATAAAAAGAGAATATATTTTAAAAGGTGGGACAATATGCAGTGAGGAATGTAGTTGATATTAAATATAATTCAGACAATATACAGGGTTTTCCTCAGTTTTCACTAAAAACAATGATATTTAATCTAGATGCAAAGGCAGAATGGATAGTGGGAATAAGGGTATGAATATGAAAATTACTGTCTGAAGTAGAAGCAAAATTCAAAGAGCTTCATGTCCTCAAATTGAGCAGGCCAAATAATCCCCTTCCCAGGACTGAGAAAGAACTATCACATTGAACAATGAATCTAGTAGCAAGAATGTTTACAAATCTGTAAGTGTGGGGTCCATGTTATAGAGTTGGAGAACAGAAAATATAGAACCCTATGTATGAGAAACATGGAAAAGAGTGATATGGGGAACTATAGGCATGTTCCCTTTTTCAATAGTATTTCATGTAGTAGCAGGGGCTAAGACCCTCTACTGGCAAATGGCCCCTCTCCATCTCCATCACCCTGTGTACTCCCACCATGCCTTGATCTTGAGTGATAGAATGGGGTTAACAGGGACATGCCTTCTTCTTGAAGTAATTTGTTGCATAGGTGAAGGAGAGGCCTGCTTGATGTCTTTATGGGTACACCCAACCCACACCTCAGGCCAGAAATGACAGAGTTATAGGCTGTTTTGAGCTTTGCTGTTATATCTTATGGGCAAAAAGTCAAAACAGTTTCACCATTTTGACGGAACAGAATGGAACAGCTGTTTCAAATTTAAACAAAATTTGAAACAGAACACTGTTCCGTCGAAATGCTGGCCAAAACAGAACACTGCCACATCACACAGCAGTACTGCATAGTATACTGGCCACCCATGTTCAAAAATATTGAGTTCAAATTGGAAAAGTGTCACGGGATGGGATCCCCAGGGATGGCCATGATACCCCTAGGGCTCCCTGACCATGCCAATCCTGCCCAATGGACACCCTCTTTCTTGCCTGCCATGTCTCGTTGTAACTATGATAAATAGGGAGGCTGCCCTCAAGTTTGTTTGGACACAGTCCTGATGGACCCGACTGAACCCTGCAGGTTCTCAGACCCCTTTTGGGTCCCGCTCCAAAATGGATGTCTCTCAGGACACCCTCAGCCTTATGGGCTAGATGCATGGCTCCAAACCACCCCTTTACCATGCCCCAAGCCTCACAGATAGCATTCACACAGTGTCCCTCCAAGGCCTCAGTTTCACTTAGCCTCTCCGCAGCCCTGTCTCTCTCTCTCTGCACCCACACTGGTGCTGGGGTCTGTGTACCCCAAATACTGCACCCACACTGGCGCTGGGGTCTCCACACTGTAGTGGGCCCCAATGAGGCCTCCTTCTTCCCCAATAACCTCAGCCCAATCCTCCAGTTTACAAACAGAAACCAAAATACGAGCCCCTGGCAAGCAGCTCAGGGTGTGCTGTGTCCCTTTAAAAGAATCACCCTTCCCCCCCAGCACTATGTGCCTTATAGACAAGGGAATCTATTGAGCTCCTGAAGTCCCTTAATCTTACCAGAAACTGAATGGGCAGTCAAGCCTCTTCACTTAGCTTCCTCCAGGAGAGCTTCTTCCTCCTTGGCTGCTGGCAGAGAACTGACTCTGTGGTTCCAGACCCGGGGTTGATATGTGCCCCAGGCCCTGCCTCTTCTGGTCAGGTGACTGCCTGCAGGTGCATGTTAATTCCCTCATTCCTGATGCCATGGTAACTTGCAGCTGAGGGGTTCCTAACTGACTGCTAGGGCTCTCTCCATAGGCAGTTTCAGCCCTTAAAGGAGCAGGCACCTTAGTGCCCTGAGACAAAAAGGTACCGAGATTGGCTAATAGGATGATCAAAAGTGGAGAGTCTGGGTCAGGAGAGGGGACTAAAGGACCGTGGCTATTTGACTTAGCAAAAGGAAGGGAATATGATTATTTTCTCTAAATATATTGGGAGGGAGGGATGGAGAAGGGCTGTTAAAGCTAAAGGTGAATGATAGAACAAATGAGCATAACTAGCCATGAATAAATGTAAAGTGGAAATTAAAAGTGATGTTCTGGTGTTCTGGAACATCCTACTAGAAGTTGTGGGGGAAAAGTCCTAAGTACTTTTAAAATAGAGCAATTTACTGTAAACATTATCTCCTTGTATCTCTTAACCATATTTTCATTTTATTTTTTATCCTTTTTATTTATTTTTTTCAACCGTTCTTGTGGAACAAAAAGACCCTTTTAAAATGCCCAATCTCTGTAATCTTCTTTGCAACTTGACCAAGTTGCAAGATAAAAAAAAAGTCTGATGTTTGAGGTAAGCACTCAGCAGGTAAAAATTGGCAGTGCTTCACTAAAAGGGATCTAATCCAGTTTATACCAAGAGAGGATTTGGCCCATGTTTTTTATATATAGTAGTAGAGACAGCATAGATGTACAATGTATAGATAATAATAGATTACAGGCTGGCTTGCACAAGCCCAAGAGGAGCAATGAAGAGAACTGGTGATTCATGACTCCCACCCTGCCCCTGTGTCCAGGTGGAACCACCCTCCCTCTACACCTCACCCTTTGCACTTCACTGGATGACATTTTTGGTGGACATTTACTTCTCATCCTGCCATCCAGAGGAAAGGGAATAAAGGGGCCTGAAGCTCTGCTTACCCCACTGCAACTGGGCCAAAAGGTGTAGCGAAAAAGAGAGTGGCATGTCTTACATCTCAGCACAGCCATGTTAATACCAAGCACACCTCAGCTCAGCATTTGATTTCTGTTTAGAAGTGCAGTGCAGATGTAAAAAGCAATTGTAAACACTACCTTGTTTTGTTCTTCCAATCCCCCAAAATAGTTGCCAGCCTGACATTTTTCCAGAACAATAGCTTGCCAGCCTGACATCTTGTTTGACAAGTTCCACTGCAGGGAAAGTTGTTCTGGGTTAGTTTAATAGGAATGGCAGGGAAACTGGCACTTGACTTAAAGACTGCTAGCAACAGCACTCTAATAAAGTAATGCCATGAGTAATGCCATAGTGTGAGGTCAGGAGTAATCAAGACATTTCATTTTCCTTTAGAAGAACTCCGCTTAGTGTATTTAAGTGTTATCTGCAGCTCTGCTCATTTCAAAATAAAACTGCTTCCTAAAATGTAAAGCATATGGCTTCTAGTTTACGACACTATTTAAAATACAAGTTTTCAAACACAATCAGGTTAACCACTGTCCCATTCACTATAATGTATTGTGACTATTTCTCCTAGCCAGCTGGTATTTTACTTGTCCTCCTCTAAAAAGAAATCTTCCGTATGTCTTATATAAGACTGTGCAAAGCAAGAATATAATTATTAGCTTGTATTTCTACCTCAGGGTTTTGTGTGGCTTATAAACAATGTAGGCGAGATGCTTCGGTGGAAATAGTCACCATGAATTTTCTTCCTCCTCTTTCTCCTGAAAATACAATGTACTAATCTCTACCACTAGCCTGCACTAATGGAGAGGGCTGTATCGACTGCAGTGGAACTAAAGTCATTTGCGCCAGCTGAGGATCTGTTCCATAATCTGCCATCACAATAAGAGCTCCATTCTGACCCCAGGTGCACATAATGAGAAAATGTTGCCATTAGGCTTGTGCGCACCTGCACAACATCAGAATCAGAAACTACCTGGGGACCTTTGTATGGGTATCCAAGATTAGAATTGGTCTGATTGGTATAAATGTTACAGCTGTTAGAAATATTTTCAGCAGAACAAATTTTCGGTTGGAAAATGCAGCTTCATCAACATTGAAATGCTTCATAGGAATGAAATGAATTGCTTCAGCTTTTGTGCTTTGTTTTGTCAATATCGGAATGGTTTGTTTTGTGTGGAGATATTTTCTTTCAAAGCAAACATGCTTTCCTTAGACTTTATTGTTTTATGTATGCTTTTGTGTGTTGAATTATAACCAAGAATCCATTTTTACATTGAAATAGTCTGATTTTTTATCTCTCTTTCTTTCTCTTTTTCTGCCATCCAAGTGGCCTAGATATCAGAAACTGTCCACTAAAAACTTCACTGACATCAAAATGTCTCCATTGAACTTCAGGGTCCAGATTAACTTTTTTTTATTAAAATGTTCAGAATGTCATTTATTATACTAACAATTCAGTTTACCATTTTACATACATTTAATATTTTATATTGTCACTATTTCAATACAATATGGGTTACCATATTGAAATTTCTTGCAGATGAGAATTTTCACATTTTGACAAGATCTAATAGACATATGCGAATATACATGAACCCAAAGGAGTGTACTGTTTGCTTTTTGTGGATGGAGCACTTCAGTTCCATTTTGACAGCAGCATGAATAGCAAGTTGTTTCCTGATAACTAACATTCTGTACCTTGTCCTATGTTTTCTACCCATGTTGGAACTGCTGACCTTGAGATCCACATCTCACAGCTGCATAACCTGTTATGTCATGGTACTTAGTGTTCCACACCCAAAAATTTAAGCCAGTGATGGATCAATCTTTGATCATTCCATGTGCCAACCCAAGAAAGATTTCTCTTCTTAGCCTACTTAACCTAAGGTATGTAAATGAAATATTGTCTTCAGCTTGTCTTCTATAGTGTACCTAGTGTACTAATTCTCAATCCGGCAAACAATTAAAACATTAAATGTACATAAAAATCAGTGCTTGAGTTGTAGCAGAGGTGGGAATAATTCTATACTTCTATACCAGCAGTCCTATAACAATTCTGCAATGGGCAGTCAACGTTGTTGCAAAAGAAAAAATGATCCTTGAACTCACAATTTGATGGCTTAAAAGTTTCTTAGTTTATGCTTAAAATTTTTAAGTATAAAAATATGAATGCCACCCGCGCTCTGCTTTGCTCAGTAATAATCTGTGCAATAAACTGCTTGGCCCTCAGGCTCACAGTTTATCCACTCACGAACTGGATCATTATCTCATAAAGCATTGCGACTTGACTATTATCACTTAATCGCATTGCAGCACCAAAGAAAATGTGTAGTTATTTTATTGCATTTGGATTTAATTTAAATTCCACAGTAGCTCAAGAAAAGATCATTACCAGGAAAATGTGAAATGCATTGATTGAACAATGTACTGTACAAAAAACAGTCTGAAAAGCAACTGGAGGAAGGTTGGGGATACACTGTGACAAAGACAGAATGGCTTACTCTGGCCTACATTAAAAACGCTACCTCTGGACCAGCAGAGGGATAAGATTTATACATATGTTCCAGTTCTACACAGAAATGATCTCTAGCTCACATTAATATATATGTTAGGATGGCTCATATTTCTCATGTAGTCCTTACACTACATGAGAAAAAAGGATAGACTGACATAGATGACCCTCTACTGGAGAACCAATATCAGCTCCACATCATTTTACATCTTACCTTTCTTGATAATGCTGAGAAGGATTAAAGTGAGGAACTTAGATCAGGAAGAGTGACACATAAATCTGAGAAGTTACCTTCTTCAAAAGAGCTCTGGGGATTACTGAATGAGAAATGAACTCTAAAGACAAGCTCTCACCTGACTCAGAGTTCAGAGAAATTTAGGACTTTGGAGATGGCTCATTTCTTCCATTTCACAATTGCAACTGGATGTTTTCTTCCAAGTGCATGACAACTCAAAACACAAAATAAAACAAAAATATTCTAGTGGGTTTACCAGCAGACACAATTTCCTTAAACCAGGGATTGCCAACCTGCAGCACACATGCTGCAAATTGCATAGGAAGTCTTTGCGGGACATGCAGCAGATCGGGGAAGGGGCAAGGAGCACTGATGTAGATTGGGCAGGGGGCAGAAGGTTGAGCAGCAGATGGAGCAGGGGAAGGGGATCAGAGTGGCACTCAAGGAGGGTGTGGAGCTTAATTTGTTACACACTGGAAAGGTTGACTCCCACTGCCTTGTAATGTCTCTCTCTGTATATTCTGCTTTCTGCATGGCCATTCGTAATGTCTGATAAAGTAAGCTTCAGCTTGTTATACGCACGCATTTACTTTGGCTAGTCTATAAGGTCCAAGTGTACCCTGCCTTCTACCACTGCCTTAAACCAATATCCTAATGGCATAAAGGACTCCCGTGGGACAGGTGAGGGTATAGAGCAGGGCTGGGCAAAGTGTGGCCTGCAGGCAGGATCAGACCTGTGGCAGACTCCATTTCCTAGCAGCCCCTGCCCACATTGCTGCCACCAGTTTCCATGGAAACCCTAGCAGCGGTGGCACTGTGACAGCACGGGGCCAGGGTTTACATGAAGACCAGCTCCAGCAGCGCTGGCAGAGTGCACGGCAGAGCAGAGAGCTGCTCCTGGGCTGGGATCGTCCGGTGCTGACAGCATGGTCTGGAGCCAGAGCAGAGCTGCAATTTTATGCCCACATGCCCTGGACAGGGGCATGGAGGCAGCAGATCGCAGGTCTGCCCCAGCTCCAGACCATGCTGTCAGCACTGCAAGATCCCAGCCCTGGCCCCAGAGCAACTTCCTGCCCAATTGCACACCCTTGCCAGTGCTAATGAGGCCGATCTCCATGGAGACCCTAGCCTGCGCTGTCATGGCGCCACTGCTGCCGGGGTCTCCATGGAAACCAGCAACAGCAATGTGGGC